AGTGTGACAAAATGTCAGGTTACATTCACCTCACAATTATTTTAACCACCCCGTCAGTCGTTAGTTCAGATCCGTGCAAAACAAAATGCCAGTCGGCCACATTAAGACAGCCAAAAGAAAAATCCACTGTTACCTATTGTAGTTAGTAGACAAGCTCTTTTCTAGCCTGCTGACTTGGTGGATTTGGTCTAGCGAAGATTTAGGATGAGGACGCATTACTATTCAACTGTTCTGGTGCAAATATGCAAAATTTACGACTATACACTGGTAAAGCAAATGTTTAATGCTGCACGTCAATTGGAGTTTAAGTTCAAGTGTGCATTTTCTCAACACCTTGTGATCTACCTAGGTTAAACTTTCGACACTTCCGAAAAATATAGCAGCTTCACACCATATGGTTCCTATAGATTTGTGTGTGTCCAAGTGTGCTGAATTGAAACGTTTGCAAAACGTTTAAAATGTGCACACCATGCAAGTGTGCAACTAGAGTTAAACACCATGTAATGTTGAAAATCATAACTTGCACACGTTGTTGTTTAAATTATGCACACTTGTTTTACCAGTGTATTTGACTACCACGTGCTTCGTCTTCATCCTTGTCTTCACGAGACGAATTCCTCTTGAAGCAGAGACCAAGAAGCTCTGAGTAGCCTCTCTCTTCGTTCTAACCTCGCTTTCTATTTTGCTTTTCTTCAGTGCTTGCCCGCAGGTTAGTTTGTTTGTGTTGTGAACATCAAAAATGAGGGCGCGAGGTGCCACTTTCCACACTACAGCCCTGAACCGTGTTCGATCGTATCTTAACTATGATGTGCGTAACGTCTTGATCGCACGAGTCATTACGCCAGCCCAGACTAGGCGAGCTGCAGTCCGACGCCGACGTGATACCATCGCCTGGCTGGAACGGTTGCCCGGACATCTAGTAAAAGACCAAGAGAACGCCTGTATGTGCGTGGAGTGGCTAAAGTATGGTTTTCCGGGTAACCCTCAGGTTTGCATGTTTTCTGTCGGACGGAGATGTGTTTGTGATCTCGAAAACAGTTTCTGTTGGAGTATTACGTATTTGTTTTTCCTTCTCCTGATCGGGCGCGAGCGTGCGTGCCTGCTCACCTGATGAGGGCCGATACCGATGTGCGTTCAATATTTAATTCTATGGATTATTCTACCGAAACTCGCGGCAGATGAAAAGTTTTGGCGGTCCAATCATCGGCTATGGACGCCGAGTGCGTGTGCGTGTGCGTGTGCGGGCACGCGTGCGTGATGGCATGTGAACTGAGGAAGGGGAAGGGGGCTGGGCATCTGGGGGCGCGGCGGGGCGCGGCGGGGCGGCCGCGGCGGCCCTCGGCACTTTTGTTTACACAGGACCACCATTAGCCGCGGGGCCGGCGGACCGAGGGTGCCCGGGGTGCCCTTGAGGTGTTGACCGCAGGAGCCCCGGGGGCCTCGGGGGCCGCGCTGCGGCTCGGTGCGGTGCGCCCGTCGTAGAGAGCCGCCCGGCCCGGGGCCCGGGGCCCGGGAGCCCTGGCTCGGCCCGTTTATCGTCCGCTTTTCTAAATTATTATTCATTGGGCGCAGCCCCGACGCAGAGCCCAGCCGCCCGGAGCGGAGGCCCCCGCCGGCCCCGCCCGATAGCCAACCAATAGTTAGGCCCCCCTGCGAATGTTTGAAAGGCGAATGAAAGGCGGGCAGGGCGAGCGGCCGCTGCCTCAGGTAGAGCAGCTGGCGTCCCGGGCCCCGGGGGCGCCGCCGCCCCGCCGGTCCCTCACACGGAAGGGGCGGGCAGTGAGTGACCAGTTGGCCGCGGATGGCTGTCAGCGGCCCTTGGGATAGAGGGGCTTGGCGACTTGCTACTATGTATGAGTGTTGCAGTAGACGCGGCTGGCGAAGTATAGAGTCACATATCTTTCCCAATCTGATCTGAAACGCTGTGAAAGCATCATCCAGGAAAGGGAATATGTTCAACCCGAAAGATATGGACGAGCAGGAAAAAGGAGGGGGGGGGGAGGAAGGGGGATTCTGCGTATGCTGCTTGCACCCTTCTTCCCCTTCCCCTCTCTGACTGGATTTGCCGCACACGCGCGTCCATTTCGATTTGCGCGCCATCAAATTGAGTCAAACGGACGAGCTGACCACCACTGGCGCCAGTAATAGAGGGGAGGGGTGGGGCAAGGGTGGTGGAGGGCGGCGGCGGCGGTGCTGGTGGTCCTCAAATTCAGTTAGCGCGGTCTGAGTGACGCGCCGCTCTTGCGGTCCACCAACCACCGTGGGCTGAGGCTGAGGCGTCCCTCTTGCGATTCCTGCTGTGAATACAGTTGAATTACAGATCACGATACTGCGCCCGAATATAAAAGCTCGAGATTACTTTCTGCAGGGCCGGAAGAAATGGGCAGCAGTGGTTCACCTGGTTCACCGCGGGGTAGTTGCCTCCTCGCAGTGGCCCTCGGCGTAGCAGCCGCTGCCGCTGGGCCAGGGGTTGGAGTGCGCTTGCTTTGTGTAAGCGGCCCCAGCCCGGCGCGCTCTGTACAGAACCGCCACACAGTTCGGAGAGGAAAGGGCGTTTTCAGTTGAAGTGCAAGTGGGGCGGGTTAAAGTTAAAAACAGCAACACTACAATGGGGTAATTGTTCTTCCGCTGAATCGCTCGATGAAACAATGACTAGAGAAGATATAGGGGAAATGAACAACAAACACTCCTCACTAACTTCAAAACTAAACCATGGTCGGGAAAATAAAGTTATCTTTACATATCAGAAGGAAATTTAATTATCGGTTGTGTTGTACCGTGTGTTTCAGAAAGTACCTTGCAGTGCGTTGTGGGTTTGCGAACCCTAGCGATCATGGCGCCTTACGTATTGACAGAGTAGGCAAACCCGCATACTGTTGGGTCGCAGCCCTGACACGGGACACGGTATACATTGGAGTTCGTCGGTCGTCTACTTGCAATAGGGTATTTCGCTGAATCGGAAATGTAAAAAAGTGATAAAACGGAGCCGCAACCAGCAGACATAACCTAAAACACCGTTTCGAATTTCTGTTCTTGTTAATAAATTCAAAGTTACGTGTGGTGTAAGATTGTTTTATCTCGGTAGTTTCGTATTTTAAAAGTGTGTGTATGAGCAGAGGATGTGCGACTCCTTGCGAAAACAAATCTTAGTAGTGTTTCTGGCTCCGATTCGCCACTTCCTTTATTCTTCCCGGGTCGTTTTCGATTTAGCGAAAGACCCTATTTGTTACCTTTACTGTGATCAGAATTCAGGATAAACCATTCCGAGAAAGCTAAAATGCAGAGAAATGCAGGTAACAAGAAAACGGAAGTCACCACACGACATTTTTAGGCGACTATACGAGTAACCGATTTGGATAAAAAGTCTCCTTTACAAATATCTATGCAATCAGAAGCAGAGAGAACCAGTCCTCACACACACAAATGTGTGGCAGGAGATATTTAGAGTTAGCCATTTCTGACTTGCTATTTGCAATATCCGACTTGTGACATGCGATTTCCGACTTCCGAACTTGCGATTACGGAATCACATTCGATCGACGTCGATTCGACGTCGTAACCGGAAATTGGTATATTTGGACGACAAAAACCTAATATTGAATCGACAGTGTTGGATTCATCGAAATATCCTATGCCATCCACTTTTCTTTGTAGACCCTTCCGATTCCTACTCGCGCCGCTTTTGCACTCGAGCAGTTTAGCGTGCTACTTTGTTGAAGGCCTTTTATCAAGACATTATCAGTGAGGTGGAAGAGTTGTGCACCATCGAGTCGCTGCGTCGTCGAGTCGGAGCTCGACGCTGCTCGACTCAACAGCCGGCAGCCCTGCCCTGCGTAGCGACGCGCTGTCTGAGTCCCCGCGGCTCGGCTCGCCGCCGCCCGCCCCACCCCCGCCTCGGCGCTCGCTGCAGCGCGCCTCGCTCCCACCGCCGCCCAGCCCGCCCGCCCGCCCAGCTGTCAGTCGCCCCCAGCTCGGCCAGCCGTGCGCAGCGCCGTACCGCCGCCCGTTCCGTTCGCCTCTCCTCCTCTGCGTCGTGTCCGACCTCGTGCCGGTGGACTTCCCTGCGCGGCGCGCAGCGCCCCCTGCGGGGAGCCCCTTGGATTACCCTTTGCTCCCCGTCTGTGTTTGTGTGTGTGTGCCAGTGATGTGCTGAGTGTTCTCTCGTGCGCGAGTGCGTGTCTGTGAGTGCGCCGTTGGATGTGATCCCTGGACGGACCCGTCCCCCCCCTCACCCTTGGTGCCATGGGCCCCCCAGCGCCCCGCCGGCCCCACGGGCCCCCGCGGGTACACCTCGCCGGTCTTGGATTTTGCTGTCTGCTGCTGCTGTTGTCGTCGAGCATATCAGGTAAGGAGGGGGGCGTTGCCGGCGTCTAACAGCAGCGCCCGGCCCGGCCGGCCCGGGGGCGTGGGAAACGAAGCGCCCGGCAGTCTCACCGCCGGGCCGCATCTCACGGTGTACACAGGCTTGTCGAAGACGCCGCTGCTGGTCTCGCATTGTTAGTGCGGCAAAGCAGAGTTTGATGCGTAGGGCGGTGTAGGAACACCAACTGGCGCGCGGTAGGGTTTGTGTGCAGCACACCGTGCAGCGCGAGCAGCGGGAGTACGGCTGCTGCCAGCAGCCGCCACCCCGCCACATGCCGCGCACGAGACTGATGATGGGGATGATAATATTTGTACATTCCCCCGTTCCATTGAGGCAGGCTTCTCTGCCTCTCGATGCTCCGACTGCTTCAAAAGAAACGGTTCGCATTTAATCTCAAGATAATATCCAATCCAGTCGAAGAATCGATGCCGACTCGGATAGTGCTTCCTAAATCTTAAAAACGGAAAGAAAATAGGAAAAAAT